TTCGCACAAAGGGAACCGAAAAAATCATTCGTGCACAGTGGTTTCGAAAGCAAAGAAAAATACTCTCATAAAAACACCCCCCCACCCCCCCCTCAATATTCAATTGCTAGTAGATAAATGATGAGGCTAATTAGCTTAGTCTTAGTTAATTAACACCATCACAGCTCGAAATCCCTCAATAAAACTTCAATTTGTCACCTCTCGTCTTCTTTATCAAATTAATTAAACTGATATTGACACTAAATGACCTTGAGAGGTGTTCAACTCTAAAAATCACCCGACAGCAAAAATGTCTAACTATAAAGTTTAATTAAAAAAGGTATAATATTCATTCAACTCTAGGGGTTTCCATTGTCTGAGACGTGCTTTCTATTAAAATATAATGAGCTTGTCTTTCTATTTAATGGGATTATATCATGACGATGTAATATATACAAATTCTTATTCAAACTCAACAGTTGAGCAATAATACTAGCTGGATCAATAATGCCAACTCAATCTTTTCTAAACTGTTCTACCTGGAAGTCCAATACGGACCATCCTTGTTGGCCGAATGTTAGACACATGCACGGACGCGCCAACCAACTATACGGTGATATAGTTACGAATCTACCAAGTACATGTTCTTGAATATAGGCTACCCTAAAGTGATCTGATACTGTAGAGGGGGGCGGGGGACTGTTGGGGAATTTTATCACTTCGCCCCCCATCGTCGGCGGGGGCAAAAAAACTACCATTTTAAACTGTGTTTTGTAGTACTAGCTAGTGTACTATTAAGACCGTCACTCTGTAGGATACACGAGCACATCAGCTATGCTGTGATATTATTATCGTGTTTAAATAAATATTTTATTGTTATTATAGTACTAGACAAGTCGCGTGTGTAATTATACTACGCGTGCACGCTTTGGTGGACTGAATACAGCTGCAACGGATGTTCAAAAATGTTCGGTCGCCCCACGCGCGCAAAGCGTGGATGTAATGGAAAACGGTCTTTAAACACACAGTCAAAGACAATTGTATTCTGCCGCAAAGTTAACTTAAAATGCAGGAAATATCGGTTCAGTTTCTTGATCAAAAACGTGTTATATTATTAAAGATTGCGTGAAAAGATATCAAAGTGTCGTTAGTAGCATGTCAATTATCAGCCGGGTTGGGATTGGGGTTATCTATGTAAACTAATTGAGTGTTTGAGTAATTTTCTAACTAATCTTTTGTTTACTCTATTGCTACAATGTCAATGAAGTAAGAGAAACTTCAAGAATACAAACAGTGGGAAGTGATTTGGGATGGAAAGATATATAACATAATTATACAGAAGTGCTTGTTTACTTCGATAAGTTAGATTGAGTGGGATTTCACAGGGAGTGTCCACTTCAAATCATAAAGTAGCACGCAATGACGCAAGTTGAAACACTTATGAAAAAAGTAGTTTAATAGTGAGTTCTATAAAACATAAGATCATTTTAGAGTGGCGCACATTCAAGAACATGTACTACTTCTGTATGATTTAACCATGCTTAACTCAGCAGTGAGTTCTGTACAATATGAGATCACTTTAAGGTAGCTCACATTCAAGAACATGTACTACCTCTGCATGATCTAACCATGGTTAACTCAGCAGTGAGTTCTGTACAACGTCAGATCACTTCAGGGTAGCTCACATTCAAGAGTATATATACTACCTCTGCATGATCTAACCATACTTAACTCAGCAGTGAGTTCTGTACAACATCAGATCACTTTAAGGTAGCTCACATTCAAGAATTAACTGGTGAGTTAAGCATGGTTAGATCATGCAGAGGTAGTATATATTCTTCAAGAATATATACTACCTCTGCATGATCTAACCATGCTTAACTCACCAGTGAGTTCTGTACAACATCAGATCACCTTAAGGTAACTCACATTCAAGAACATGTACTACCTCTGTATGATCTAACCATGCTTAACTCAGCAGTGAGTTCTGTACAAATCAGATCACTTTAGAGTTGAAGGTGCCTCTATACTTGGTTACGAGATCTCGGGTGCGCAAATGTTAGAAAAGTTGCGCAAACCATTCCCCACGCTAGCGCGCATCAAAGATGCAGTCAAGGGCACAAACCAAGGGCACAAACATGCATGTTAAAAACAAAAAAAATTTGGAGATTTGAGGGCAGATTATAAAAGTTCAAAAAGCGTGATTAAATACACCCCAGCTGGGCTAAAACTTCTGCGTACGTTGTTTAACCAACTCTGCAGTCCGGACTAAACCTCTGCCCTCCCTATTATTCATACTTAACCTACCCCCAAGAGTCTACTGCCCCTACACATCTTGAACATGCCTACCAGTCTAGCATACATTACCTATTCTTTTAAGCATCTATTAACACATTCCCCTGAATCCTATTACCCATTTTGCAAGTGTATACAGGAAAATCCATATGTCATTACTTGGTTAATACTTTCTGGGCTATAATCTGAGGTTATTGGGTTCAAATTTTGCGCAGATGTTGAAAGAATCGCCTAGAGAATTCGAAATTCCAACGAGACATTGAGTATTTAAAGAGCCGCTGCCGGCAAATAACCTCAAATCGACTTCGGCATTCGAAGTGAGATCTTAAGCTTGAAAGCGTCAAGAGAAAATTGTTGGACTGTTCTGCTTAAGATGGATTTTGGACCACAGTTAGGCGTCCTTCTGTTGTGCATCAGTGCTGCATTTCTGAGAGCAAATGGTAAGGATTTTTAGTTTCATAACTTCTAACTAAAGCGGTTGTATTTGTATTAGAAGCATATGTGATTTTGTGTGAAATTCAATTTATTTGATTTTCAACCCGAAGGGGATAAAGCCTAAAAGCTAGGGTTTTATAATGAAATTGACTTTTAAAACAATAAAAAACATTCTTTTCGGTGACTGGAATTTATATTGTACGCAAATGCGCACAAATGCTATACAAGGCACATTGAATTATTATTGAATTATTATTAATTATTACAATAATAATATTAATAATATTACATTGAATTATTATTGCACATCATATTATTAGCACTGAATGTGATGAAGATCCGGGCTTACGGATCGAAAGCTTTGCAGTAATAAATTTACGTGGTGTTTCCACAAACAAAACTATAATATGTTTTATCGCCATGCAAACATACAAAGAACTTATTTAAGGCACATTGAGTTGAAGAATTAAGGCAATTTCGAGCTATATTGTCGCATATGCGTGCACGCACATTTTCGAACCAGTGTTTGTGGCAGTTGTTGGTATTTACCACAGCACAGTAAACTGAATTTGGGCGTGTTATGTAACCATTGTCTCGAAGCGCCTCCGGTTCACACGTGACCCAATGAAACCGTGCTAAAATTTGCATAATTTGCGCGTGAACTCCCAGACACACCGCACGCGATTCGGCAACGCGACACGATTTTTCAGTTTTTGAAAGCTAATAAAACCGTCCATGAAAGGAAATTTTAAAAGATATGTAGACCAAATAACTCTATAGATATGTAACCCAAATAACTATTAATGTTATAGCGCTTCTAAATATTTGAAAAACTTAAACCAGGATCAAAGTTTTCGGTCAGTGAAAATCAAAAAATTGTGCTGCGTTGTTGTGGGCCATGGCCCGCGACGCATGAAACCGTACTGCAAATTGTTCACACGGGAATTGCCGCACGGTAATTCTTCCGGTCTCGTGTGTAGTAAAGTTTACTCTCGGCTTACGTATCACCTAATACGCATAGGCTACGGTATTCCAACCACAATCGGCTATATCAACATATTCTGAAGTACCTTAAGTATTTGATTCATCGAGCAAGTTCTCGATAGTTGGAAAACAATCTCGAACTATCGACTGCAAAGAGTTCGGAACTTATGAACTTTATCAAAGTCTGTCAAGATATGATGGACAGGAAGCCAGGCAAAATAGAAGTCCTTTGTTTGATGTTGAACTGTATCTCACCATGTACAAATCCTTTGTCTCAACTTCATTAAATATTATTCATCATCGTTGCACGTTTCATCTCCGAGCTATCCCTATTGGACGGTTACTTCACTAAGCCCGAGTCCAGCATTGGACGATGTTCCACAATATTGGATAAAAATTTCCAGATCATATCTTGATAGACTATGACTTTATTTATGCAGGAGAAAATCATATATGTGTGATAGTAAGCAGTGTTTTCACATGTGACTGAGATGAAAAACTGCGTTGCAAAAATGGAACTCTGGTCAAGGATGGAAAGGCACATTGTACTACTACCATACACTTGGGATGGATAGAATGGCCAGATTGTGGGGTCTACACTTCGTGTTTGTTAGGCCAGATTGTGAGGTCTACACTTCGCGTTGAATGGTCAGATTGTGGGGTCTACACTTCGCGTTGACTTTGGCCCGTTCTAAGCCCAAACTTTCCATGGGAGTCGTGAGCTAGACCGCTGCACCTGCACTATGGCTACATTTTTGTTCCACCTCCCCCACTATTTCCACCAAAATCCGGCCTTGATGGACAGGGATTCAAACAACCTGAAAAATACAAGGAGAACTTGGACCTCTTGAGCGAAGGTCTTTCGTCGGGAAGTTAGAAACGTCGAAGTTCGCTCGAAACGTCGAAGTTTCCTTGTATTTTTCAGGTAGTTGTATCCCTATCAATCCAAAGCTTTCTTATTTATTGCCACTACCTACACTTGCACAGATTGTTCAGACCACAGTTATTTTAATAGATGGTTTGGAGACTCGATGAAGTACAATATAATTAATATAGTTAATGGTAACTATTTGTCCAGCTTTATGCAAGAATTTGATCCTATCTCGTCACGTGTGTATTGTATTTTCGCACAAATAACCAATAACAAGTTTGTGGTTGAGTTATCCATCCGTAAATTGAACAAATGCTCAATTTAAACATTGCTATTGGTCGTGTGGGGAAAATACAGTACACACGTGACGAGATAGGACCAAATTACTGATTGCATAAACCGAAACCAACATAGTTAATGAGTTATATTGTACTTTCATCGAGTCTCGATCCAAACCATGTATTCTATTAACTGTGTTCAGACCATACAGGAAGTTATTGCAAGGTGGAACCGCGCAAATTAACATGTAATAAACATATAGTGCGCTAATTGCTACGAAGCTACTTGAACACAGCCTAATTGCAACTATCTCAAAACAACATATGTCAAGACCATTATTACCTGGGTAATTATCTGTCACGTCTAATATTGTGTAACAGTTTGGTTTTTCAAAAAGCGTGTCAGCATATTTATAGCAGTTATGTAATCGGAAATTTAATAAAACGACTCGCGCCAATATCACAGTATATTATCATTGGATAATCATAGTTGAAAGGTCAACACATCTTGTGGAAAGATTTATGTCGTATTAATGTAATCACTTCATTTATGGCCCATCCATCCATTCGCTTATCAAAGCAATTCAAATAGTTTTCATTTAAACATATGCCATCGTTTCATGCACTGACATTGTATGTTGCAACAATGATTTATAATTTTTTATCAAAGCCAATGATGAGTCATTTCATTTGTCGAACGAGTGCCCGTTGGTCTTTTTGGCTTTATCATCACACACCATTAAAAAAAAACATAAAAAATACGACTGGAGGGAAACTATCCTAAATTAAAAAATAATTTCTGTGATCACAGTAGGAATTTTGCATGGGTTAAGTTTTGAAGGATTTGTAAGAAATGTTTGAGGGATCTGACTTAGTGTTAAATTGTGACTCAACTCCCTCAAACATTTCTTACAAATCCTTCAAAACTTAGAATTTACCCATGCAAAATTCCTACTGTGATCACAGAAACTTTGATAGTGTAAACCTACCTGCCTTAATAGGACATGCTCTTGACTTCAACATGGCATTTCTGCGCAAATAAGTTAATTGAACACTGGGGAGCTAGTCAGAGACTGTTACCAATGACCCATCCGGAATTCTAAGGATGTTGAGTTCAGATTAATGAGGATCAAATATCGTCCATTAGGAGTCTTATATATGTCTTCTGAGGCTTGACTAAGGGCCAAGAATTATTGGAATTAATATCAAGTATTTAACAATTGGTTATCCAATTACCTATCAAGCCGATGTAACGAGAGTAATTTTAATCTAATTAAGTCTTCTGTCTATAGTATAATCACAATGTTTAGCAGCTAATGCTGACAGGATCGTCCATCTATTAGGTAGTCCAACCCATCAATCCCACATTCCCTGTGGAGGAAACGGGAGTACGGAAAGAAACCCTGCGACTTTCAAGTTTTGATAAAGCGCGGTGCATGAATCAAACTATACTTTCTCAGAGATGAAAATCTCTTGCTCTAAAATCTGTCTCACAGACTTAATACGCATTTGATTGGTTAATCGGGTAGATTAAATGCGTCTGATCGGTCAATGGTAACGGAATTCAAAATCTGAACATGACTATTTTACAGTATTTAGCATTATTTATTTTATCTTTTAAAACTGTTTTAATGGCTTTGTTAAAAGTTATATGTTGGGCTCTCATATTTATTATACGAATTCGTTTTCCGCCTGGCAAATCTCTGGCAACGATATAGTATTTAGCAGTTATTTCAAATATTTTCATTACAAAAATTTCGTACGTAACCTACCAGCTATAGTCGTATTTTGCATCTTTTCTCTCTCTATCTAAAAAGATAAATATAGTGTTAAACACCAATTAAATCAGTTTCCTCAAACATTTCTTACAAATCCTTCAAAACTTACAATTTACCCATGCAAAATTTCAGTGCAAACGAGCCTTAAAAAAATTTGGGTGACTAATTCGTAGTGCTTAAGTAATAAACTCTCTATTTTTTAGAAATCGACTTTTTGAAAGACGTACCGCAGGACCCAAGTAAAGGACTGCAGAAAAACAACGGGGAGATGGTTTATTGCTATCAGAGGAAAAATGGCAGAACGAATGGCCAACTTCGGACGACAAGTCACGTCAAAGATCATTTTGTGGGAGAGATGATACATGGGAGCTTTAGTACCACTGCACAAATAAAGTTAAAGGAACTGAGAGGTATAGAAAGGCTTGTGCGAAGTTTCAAAATAAACTATATTTATTATAATGGATAGTTCTAGCAGTTCTAAACTGCTCTTGCTAGAGGTCTAGCGAGGGTCATCTGTTATTGATCATGCAGTGTTACTACAGAAGGAAACCTAACTATGACTAAATTAATTTTATTCATACTGGAAAGATCTAACTATCGGTTATTGATCCAGTGTTACTACAGGAGAAAACCTAAACTAAACGAACTTTATTTATACTGTATAGCTCTAACAGTTCTAAACTGTTATCCCTAAAGATCCAATAAAAATCATCGGTTATTGATCCAGTGTTACTATAGAGGAAACCTAAACTATTAGGCCAATGAAAATTGATATCATGTTTCTCGTCCACAATTTTCAAAAATTTGGAACGAGATTTTTTCATTTTTCATTATTTTTTGTATTTGAATTCTGCTTGTCAATAATTTCCTTGACCCAGTAAAAAACCCCATAAAAATCTGAAGTATTAAAAATTGGTGTATAATTCATTTTAATTTAATACGTCCTACACTACAGTCTACAGACTACAGTATATTTCTACACATACCAGGGCTGACATGAAAAATAGAGGCATTCTGGCGAGTAATATCTTTAGAAAAATACAATTTGAGTTGCGCTTGCGGAATGCAGCAATAAGATTTTGATCTGGAGATGAATTTGGTGTTTTGTTAAGCCTATTTTTCAAAAATAATGAATAATGAAAAATTTTCGTGCGGCAGATAAATCCCATGCGGGCGGGGACGAGAAGCATGATATCAATTTTCATTGGCCTAAACTAACTTTATTTATACTGGATAGCTCTGTTAGTTCTAAACTGTTCTTCCTAGAGGTCTAGTAAGGATCATCTCTTATTGATCCAGTGTTACTGGCTACAGGAGGAAAGACTACTAAACTAACTTTATTATACTGGATAGCTCTATATCCGTTCTAAACTACTCTCTCTGGAAATCCAAAGGGAGACCCTCGTAATTGGTCAAGTGTTACTACTGATATACTACAGAAGGAAACCTAAAGTAAACAACTAATGCCAACCATCATCACCCCACAAACCAAACTGTAAAACTTAACCCAAGCATTTGCTCTAGGCACCGCCCAGTTTGTTCTGTTCTCGGTACAAAGAACAACGGATAGAAAGAAACTGTTTATCTGGTGGCTCAACGCAGTAAGAAAACAGGTCGGCATTACATATACAGGAAGCCAAGGACGAACGTCACTTTTGTATTTCTCCAAAGTGCCGTTCGGAGTGACAACCTGGTTTCAACTGACGCTTAAATTTCGCGGTTTCAACAGAAATAGACCAATGGTGAGCCTGTACGTGAACGACATGAAGGTGGAAGAGAAGACTTTGAGCAGGAACTTTAGAAATGCGATCGTGGGGACAAATAGAAATAACATTGTGATTTCGCTGGCTGACATGTGGGGTCTAACTACCACTTCATCAATGCCTAAGGTTTGTTGATTATGACATAGACGTGCGGGAGGGAAAAAATTAGGGTGGCAGAAAGAAATTTGCCCGACTTTTTAACATTTTGCCCGACTTATCAAAAACATTTTTCCATGCTAAACTTCCAAAATTCTCGTCGATGGGCGGGGGAGTGGTTGGGAATATTTGTTATCTTATAGTTATATATTTCTTGCTGTAAAAATTATTTCCCCCATCTTGAACAAAATTGAATAGAATCTTAAAGACCTCATTAATAATTCATGAAGAAAACACAAAAGAAATCATGAGCGTGAAGGAGTTTGTATATCTGATACAGAATCATACTGATTTACATAAACTTTAAGTTGAATTTTCTCACCAAATTGAAATATTATTCATTTATTGTAAATTGTTGAAGAATACAAATGTTTTCATCGAGACGTTTCACAAGCTATATAAAGCATTCGCGTCTGTGTTGTATCAGACATACAACCTCTCGCGCCTTCGGCACGAGTTTGTATATCTGATATAACACAGTCGCTCATGCTTTATCTATGACATAATAATAGCATATTTCTCTCTAGATTTGTATGAGAAGACTGAGAGTGTTTACAGATACAGATGTTGAAGATGTTGTAAACCAATGCCCTCAACCAGGTATTTCACTTTGCCGGTATAGACTAAAGGCTAGTTTCCACTCAGGAAAATTATCCATGGATTGGACGGACAAGACAATTTTTCTTTGTGTTAAAGTCGTTAGTTCCAACCCAGAGATCACAAGACAAAGAAAAACTTTCTTGTCCGTTCCAATCCACGGATAATTTTCCTGAGTGGAAACTAGCCTCAAAGGCCCATTTCCACTCCGGAAAATTTTCCGAAAAAAAAAACACATTTGTACAATATGATTGGCTGACACAAATTTTGCGTCGGAAAAAGAATTTGAAGTTGAAAGTTTTCAAGTTTTAACAATGATATTTTCGGAAACTTTTATGTCCGTGGACATATTTCTTGAGTGGACATGGGCCTTACTCTCAGACTCTGAAGATTGTCGGAATCATTCACAGCACGCACTGAGTAATATGCATGGTATTCGTGGCACGACGAAAGGATTTTGCCCAAGTATGGATTAAAAATTTAACCAACTTCACTTTTTTTCAATTTCACTTGATGTGTTATAGACAATTCAAGTCTCGTCTAGGAAATGATTTTTATGACAATTTCCATGTGTTCCACTAAATCTTTCATCAACTTCTTCTATTACAGCTAGTATGACCGAACAGGAATTACAACACTTGGAACAACGTATAGCTGTTAGGGTGACTGCAACCTGCGATCAGGCGATAAGTAAGGTAGGTTGAAATCCCGAGGCTTTCCACCCGCATTAAGGAAGGGAAAATATGGCCTGAGATACTCTAGGATAGTTTTTAAAATAATATGTGATTCTACAAATTAGTAGCTCTATCAGTTGTAAATTGTTCTCCAGAGGTTTAGTAGAATAATATCTTACTGGTCCGGTGTTTTAACAGAAGAAAAACAGGGAAAAAAGTGTCTCATGAGATTGAAGAAAAAAATGATATCTCAGACAGCTACATACTGCGTCTGTAGGAATAACTGTAGTCGTGTCGCCGATATCTCACGACAGTACCAGGCCATACATCCCCAACGTGTTATTTTCAATACTATTTATAAATAAAGTCTAACGAATTTCCCTTCTTCTGCTGAACAACAATGCCGTTTATCAACTGTCTAATATTTTCATCTTTCTTTAATCCCATAGATGATGCAACAAATGCAGTTAATGCTAAACACATGTGGCGTATGTAAAAGACATCCAAACCTGTTCACCAGACCTCCTCCCAACTTGTTCACCAGACCTCCTCCCAATGGGACAGGACCTATAATTGGCAACCCTGTAGAAACCAAGCCTAAGGAAGCATTAAAGTCACTAGTAGCAAATCCTTGCCCCCCTGGATTGAACGCTTGTCACCCGAGGGGAACATGCACTCCTAATATAATGTCTCCAGGAAACTTTTGTAAGGTATGGAAACTACTGGACATGAATCATAACACTTTCCTTTGCAGTATTGCTCATTTTAGGACCTAACTAACACCACCATGACTATCATTACCATCAGCAACCAGCAACATTCATCTTTACCATCACAATTAATACCATCATCAAAACCATCACCACAATAATCACCAACACTATTGTTACCATCGTTATCACCACTACCACCATTCCCATCACACTATGGTGAACCACCATCCTCCATCCCACCATGACCATCACCACCATCTTCATCACCATCACTATCAAAATCACGATCACCAGTATTACCATCATCACCACCACTACCACCAACAGTGCATCACTATCATCTTCACCATCACCATCACCATTATGACCATAACTACTGTCGCTATCACCACCATAATCATCATTATCACCATCGTCACCAGCACCGGCCACTACCATCATCACCACTGACACCTTCACCCACGATCTTGTTTTCCACAGTGTAACCATGGTTTTGCGGGCAATGGCTATTCCTGTGGTAAAGATTCAGATATGGATGGTTTCCCTGATGAAGATCTTCCCAACTGTAAAGAGAAATACTGCAGAAAGGTAACTTTAAAAGCATAAAGATAAACTTTGGGACAACCGCAATATAGTCTAACATCGTGATTCACTTAGGACAACTGCATTGACAAACCAAACAGTGGACAAGAAAATGTTGATGGAGATGAACTTGGCAACGCATGCGACGAAGACCAAGACAATGATGGAATTTTGAACAAGAAGGTAAGTATTTATTATTAATGAGTCGACAAGAATCACAAGACTTGACGAGAGTGCATAAGCGTTCAAACGCGAGGAAGAGTTGCAACTCTTATCACTGCTCTCATCTTCGTTTGGCCGAGGATTTAGCAAAAACCTTACGTCCTAGACCTACATTAGTGGCAAGATTAACTCAGAGGTAACAGACACAGCACGATTAATGGAAACTGCTAGGCTTCCCATAGTGAATGAAGCCCGTTATTATTTCTGCTTTCAGGATAACTGTGCACTCCACTACAACCCAAGTCAGCAAGATACAGACGGAGACAGGATTGGTGATGCGTGTGATAATTGTTTGAGAACTCGTAATCGAGACCAGAAAGATACGAATAACAATGGCACAGGAGATGCTTGCAGCAGAGATATTGATGGCGATGGTAAGTAGAGGAACACTTGGATTGATAGGGATGCAATTACCTGAGGAAATAGAAACAGAACAAGGCAGAAACAGAACGGGAGGAACAGTTTAAAACGATGTAACACTGGACGTCCTTTTTTCCAGATATTATTGAAAACGACAATTGCCCCTACAAACAAAACAGCAACCAGTTGGATTCAGATGGGGATGGCGTTGGAGACGCATGTGATAACTGTCCACTTAATTCTAATGTTGGACAGGTACGTATCTTTCTGTCTTTTTGTTGTTGAACAACGGAACTGTCTTTAAAGCCTGAGCTAAATTTCAGAATACCCGTCCACATAATTGGAGATTATCTCTGTGGCTGGTCCCTGCCCGAATTGTATGTAAATTTTGTAACGTATTAGTCTTATTTACGTCTGTTATGCTTGGCGAATCTTGTAAAATAAAATAAAATAAAACTACTTTGACATATTACACCTATTAATTCCTTGTAAACATGGTGAAATGAGAAAAGAATGCCAATTTCAAATGCTTCGTTCTTCAAAGACTCCGGCATTGAACAACAAGCAACATATTCTTGGAATTTTATCTTTAAATTTTAATTATGAACTGTTTTGAAATAATCTTTTAATTCATTTAACAAGCTATCAAAAGTGGACGGGTTATTCTGCAATCACTCCAAAGTCTGGTTTACACTATCAAAGTTTCTGTGACAACTGAGTAGGAATTTTGCATCGGTAAATTCTAGAGGCCTCGGACACTTCTTACAAAATCCTTCAAAATTTAGAATTTACCTATGCAAAATTCCCACTGTGATCACAGAAACTTTGATAGTGTAAACCAGACTTAAAAAACCTTTCAAACTCTCTGTTATGTTTGCTTTCGAACGCCTTTTTTTATTTGCCTATCATTGTTTTAAACTTTATTTTAGGAAGACGTTGACCAAGATTTAGTTGGCGATGAATGCGATTCAAATGTAGACAGGTATTGAGATTTTGATTCGCTCAATTTCTGGAAGTTGTACATTCCGTATCGGATAGGTGCTTTTTCGCGCCACTACGGAAAGCTATCTGGTATAATGTAAACGTAGCCTGAGTGTCTAACTTTCATTTGCAGAGACACGGATGGCGTAAATGACAATTATGATAATTGTGTTAGCGTGATTAACCCGGGACAACTCGATACAGATGGGGATGGAATAGGTAAGAAATGGATGTCCACCTACAACCAACACATCCAAATCTGAGAGGTGAAAGACGTCAAGAATTGTGCAACAAAAAATAAAATTCAATTACTGCAGGACAACATGATAAACTAACGCACCCAGGAGTTGCTACACATTTTCGCAATCATTCTTCTGCAGGAGACGAATGCGACCCAGACGACGACAATGACGGTGTTGCTGATGAAACAGATAACTGCAGATTAACGGCAAACGCAGATCAGGAGGTCGACCCTTTGTGTAAGTACTGCATGTTTCTCTTCAGGCCCGTATTAGAGGTGTCTGTATTACAGATGTGTCGGGATTAGATACGGTATTTTAGAGATATGTCCGTATTAGAGAGGTGTCGGTATTAGAGGCCGTATTAGAGAGGTGTTCGTATTAGAGAGGTATCGGTATTAGAGGCCGTATTAGAGAGATGTCGGTATTAGAGGCCGTATTAGAGAGATGTTCGTATTAGAGAGGTGTCGGTATTAGAGGCCGTATTAGAGAGGTGTCGGTATTAGAGGCCGTATTAGAGAGATGTTCGTATTAGAGAGGTGTCGGTATTAGAGGCCGTATTAGAGAGGTGTCGGTATTAGAGGCCATATTAGAGAGATGTTCGTATTAGAGAGGTGTCGGTATTAGAGGCCGTATTAGAGAGGTGTCGGTATTAGAGGCCGTATTAGAGAGATGTTCGTATTAGAGAGGTGTTCGTTTTAGATAGATGTCGATATTGGAGAGGCTTCGGTATTAGAGAGCTGTCCGTATTAGAGAGATGTTGATATTAGAGAGGTGTCCGTATTAGAAAGGTGTCGGTGTACTACGTATTAAGGATTTATCAAACGAAAGGTGTACTACGTATTATGAAGTGTCAGTATTAAAGAGGTATCTACATTAGAAATATGTCCATATTAGTTAGGTGTCTGTATTAGAGAAATTTCCATATAAGACAGAGCCTGAAATAATTTTAAAATTTGTCCGGAAAAACTTCCGATCAAAACGAAATTTGACCGGAAATTTACAAAATTGACCGGAATTTTTTTTAGTTTAGTTTGACCAAGTTATAGTGAATAATAATTTAATCACGCCCGCCGACGCTGTTTTTATCTTGACCCGACAACACCACGCTGTAAACCACCATCTTGTTTATTAGGCTCGTGAACTATACTTTCCAGTTGATTACTTTATATTAGCCTAATATAGATAATCCAAACTTACAGATGGTACTCACTGTGCTGAGCGCCGACCCGATCATTAAGAAAACATTTTTCTTTTTCTCAAAATTTGGCCGGACAAAATTTCCGATCATTTCAGCATTTGATCGGAAAAATCGGAATTTGGTCGGAAAACCGCCGGCCGTTATTTCAGGCTCTTAAAGAGAGGTGTCAGTATAAACAGGTGTCAGTCTTAATTAAAAGATGTACCCGCATTAGAGAGGTTAGACTGTTATCTTGACCTAATTAGAGAACAAATTATTTTACAGCACCAAAATATGGACTAGCTTGTAAAGATGATTATGATGGCGACTCTATAGCCAACAACCTGGACAGCTGCCCTGAAAACAAAGATTACTCGGCAGTCAGTTTCTACGAGTATCAAACTATC